GAGCTGAGGTGGAGCTGAGGCGGTGATGCTAACACTGGGGAGCAGCTGTAAATACAGAGGAAGCTTTTCTCCCTGGCCCATCACTCTCCTCCTGCTGTGCGGCCCAGTTCCTAACAGGCCACAGACTGGGTCTAGTCTGCGGCCCAGGGTTGGGGACTCCTGTGCTACAGTGCTAAGTTTGATTAGTTGAATTTACAAATCTGAGGGTTCATAAAATAATATTTTGTCTGACTGAAATGACAGAAACAGAAACCCTGAAACTCAAATGCATGCACTCATTCACGTTTGTACACATTCCTGCATATGCACATGCACACATGCGCACACACGCGCGCGCACACAGCGCACATTTTACCATGCCCATCTGGATCTTCAGATACATTCAAATACATTCAAAAGAAAGCCGAGGGCAAAAATGTACCCCACTGAGAAGAATCTAAGTTAAAAGGGACTCATCATTGCCCAAGAGATTATATATTTTCAAAACATTAGAAGAGGCTTAAAAGGAGTATTTATAGAAGTAAAATTTATCAGATTTTCTACAATGACTGCCTCTGTAGGACTTCCCTAGAGGATTCTCTAACTCTGTATGATAAACCTGCTGCCCCACTCAATTATGTTCCATTTACCAAGTACAGCTTGCATTATAACATTTCAAGTGATATCACAGATGTGTGCTTTGGCATAAGGGCATGGCTGCCATCCTGAATGAAGCTTTGGAAAGGGAAAGGTCAGTGCCTGACGACTGAGGGGACTCCTCCGGCCCTGCGTCTAGAATATGCCGGTTCATAGAACCAGGAGGCTAAAAAATATACACCCCGGTCAAAAGTCATTTCTGGCAGACAAAACACTTTGAAAAACACAAAGAATCCTCCTATTAATTCTAAAATCTTATCTATGCCTTGTGCTAGCTTGGCATACTTGAGTCCACAAAAAAAGAGCAATTAATTGTTCAATGTTTTAAAAGACAGGAGAAGGGAGCGGGGGAAGGAGACAAGGTGGGGCGGGGAGAGAGGAAGGAACACCGCACCAAGACCAAACCTTTTCTTATCAGTGCAACCATCGCGCTTTCGTTTTCTGAACACTGTTCCTATATGCTCAAATTGTACAAGCTGTGATGAGGACATGAAAAAAGTATAAGTTAGAGTCCATGATTTAGCAAGTTTTACTGTTGCCAGGGAAATGAGATTTGTGTACATTAAAGTATTAGAGAAAAGTGCTTTGGTTTTCTGTTTATTTCTAACCTCATTCCCCCCAAGGATTTGTGATTACTTAACTGAAAGTTGCTAAAAGGGTAGATCTTAAGTGTTCTTATCATATACACACACACACACACACACACACACATACACACAAAAACAAAATGATAAATAAACAATTGAGGAAGTACAGCCAAAGGGAAGATACAAGTAGAAAAATAATAAAACCAGGTCTAAGATTAAATAAAGAAATGTACAATATGCTGTCCACACTAGGGGTGACCTATAAATTAGGCTTAAAGTTTGGAGTACCTTAAGCACAGGCAGTAAATCACACAGGACACTATGTACAGCACTGATTTGTGTCAAAATGAGAGGACAACCACTGCCAAACCTAGCTGCCCAGTGATATCAACTGAGAAGGTTTTTAAAAAATTCAGTAATGAACCAGAATTCCTGGGTCAGGCAGAGAAAGATGGAATGTTGAGAATCTGCATTCTTAAAAACCTCCCTGAAGGAATAATGATGATGTCAGCCCTCATCCTGGGAACCACAGCTGTAGGGCTTTAGAAATGGAAAAGGGAAAAAAAAAATCCTCCTGAAATCAGATTGCAAGAATTATGGAGGACGTGAAACTCAAGCTGGGCTTCTAAGTTTGGATGGCGCTTCGATGTGTGAAGATGAGGACTGAGGACGTTCCAAATGGAGGTGAGGGCATGAGCCAAATCACAGAGGTAGGAGGCAGCCTAATGTCATGGAGGAGACTGTACCATCCCTAGTCAATCTGGAGTGGATGTGAGGAGCCCTGTGACACTATTTGATATATCCCTTAATCCATTCAATTTTAATTAAATCACAAAGAAATTAAAGAGTCTACATACACGATAAAGGATAAAACTAAAATAGAGATAAGTGGAAATGTATGTATTAGTTATCTGTTGCTGTGCAGCAAATTACCACAAATTAAGTGGCTTAAAATAATTCACATTTATTATCTCACAGCTGTCATGGGTCAGGAATTTAAGAATAGCTTAGCTGAGATCTCTGCTCAGGTCCCATGAGGCTGAAGTTAAGATGTCAGCAAGCCTGAGGTCTGATGTGAGGCCTGGAGTTTTCTTCTGAGCTCATGTGGTTGTTGACAGAATTTCCTTGCAGCTGTAGAACTCATAGCAACTTGATTTTTAAAGGTCAGAGGGAGAATCTCTGAGGCTTCGATTTGCTGACCTCTATACAATCTTTAAGGGACTTGCTTGATTAGGACAGAGCCACCCAAGAAAACCTCCTTTTTTTATAACTTAAAGTCAACTGATTAGGAACCTTAATTTCATTTGCAAAAATCCCCCCTTTGCCATATAATTTAATGTAATCAGAGGAGTGATGTCCATCATATTTTCAGGCCCTGTCCACACTCCAAAAAGAATTACATACCAGGTGCATATATGACAGGGGGTTTGGACCTTGGGGTTCATCATAGAGCTCTGTCTACCACATAGTATAAAGATGAGAGAATAAAAATCTGTAAATAAGCATAATATATGAGCCAACAGAGCCCTTGTAATTAAACATGTAAATTTGACTCTGAGATTCCTGGCAGTTGAAGTAAAAAGGAGACATAGAGTTCTGTTCAGTTTCTAATACTAACTCATACAAGATATTTCTCATGTTTTTACACAGGAATAATGAAACGATGAGCATCAGCACAAAGTAGAGAAATAAGATAGAATTAGGTGGAATTTGATCCAAACATCTCTTTTTAAGTAGGGGATGTTTGCCCCCACCCTCACGCCTCGGGGAATCAGCAATAATGGGAACACAGTTCAGTGGGGTGTTTGATCGGTATCAGGTACCATGGGCTGGTGATTGGGGCACCCATAACAGTGATTAACTATGAAGAGACACCATGAGTTATTCCAGGGAAAGTGAAAATACTGAAGTACAAACATAAACCTAAGTTAGAAACCAAAGAGATCAAATGTGTGGAAGAGACGGAAGCAGGAAGTTCAGGTACTACGGTCTCCAATGAGTCTCGCAGAAAGGTTGCCTTGTTCTTGCTGGCCCTGTGAATGTTATCTGGCCACCTTCCTGTGGAACAGCTTTCCCCCTGGGCATCTTACAGGCATCACTTGATCTTGGACAGAGCTGATCAAATGCCTCTGCTTCGCTTTATGGTTCTCATAATTGGTTCTAGGTATTCAGTAGGGTTAACTGTGTCAAACTGTGTTCAATTCACACTACAATAAACCTGTGGTTGCATGCAAACTACTCTCCTTTCTTCCATCTACTAATATATCACCTCTTTTTATGACCCCACTCATTTCTTCCACTTCCTGTTCAGGCTCTTCCCTGAATAGCCTCACTCATAGAATCAGCATTGTCTGTGTATCATTCCTGTTTACTCACGTCTTGTCTCCTACCATCTGACCATCTGGTCCACAGAACCAACCTGTTTTAACCTCTTTCATCTTTCAGTTTCCATAGAGCTGTTGATTTAGAAAGCCTACGGATGGACGAGGCCTTGAAATCCTTCAGCTCACCTTCCTTCCCAGTGAAGACCATCCATCACTATCTGAGCACTTCTGGGGACAAAGCTATTTCATATGGTCCCACATGAATTTCCATATGATCAAAAAGTCCTGACTAATATTAGGCCACACTGCTTCTCTTTAACTTTCACCCTTAAGTAGCAGTGCAAGTTAAGCAGTGTTCTCTTGAATAAACTAAAACACCACCTTCACCTTCAAATGTTGTGAATGGGAATATAAATTGGTACAACCACTTTAGAAAACTGTTTGGCAGTGCCTCCTAGATACCCTATGATGCAGCAATCACATACACCCACATATTTACACTCAACAAATATATATTTGTTTGTTCACCAAGAGACATGTACTAGAATATTCACAGCAGCACTATTTATAATGGTCCCAAACCGGAAACTATCCAAATGCTCATTAACAGTAGAAAGAACACATTTTGATACAGTCGCACAATGGGATACTATATAATAATCATGAAAACTCTACAACTGAACACGGTAATATGAATGAATCACATAGATACAATTTGAATGACAGAAACATGTACATATTGTGTGTATATGTTCCATTTTTATAAGGTACAAAACCAGGAAAAATTAATCTGTGTTACTAAAAGTCAACATGTTTATTAACTTAGGGGTGTGACTGAATGAGGTTTCAGAAGGGCTTCTGAGGTGCTGGTGACACTTGCTGGTCTAGCAGCTAAAAGCATGGGCATACTCAGTTTATAAAAAATTATCAAGCTGCAAACTTATGTGCAGTTAACTGTATATATATTCCAAGAAGGTTTAAAAATTCTCTTCCTCCTCTAAATAAGCTGAATAAATAAAATTTCTCTAGTCATTTCTCATAGATATGTGTTCTAGATCATCTAGAATGTTCAAGATCCTAGTCATCTATGTATAAAACCTTTTAATTTGGCAAAGCTCTGGTCATTCGTTTGGAATTTAATCATACTGATTGGTTTGTAGTGTATTTTAAATATCCACATGAGTTCTTTCATCCAACACACTGTAAGCCCCATAAAGACAGGTATTTTTCCTTTGGATTCTCCAGATGCACAAATATTCACACTCAGAAATACTCTTCTTAGCAAGTGCAGATAAAGGAGATTGAATTTATCTGAGGCCTATTTGATAAATCAATCCAAGTATTTTCTACCTCTAAAAAAGTAATAAATATTTAATACTAATTTACCTGGTGAAGCCAAATTTTATTTGGCTCTCTTCCGTCGAGTTGATCTAAAAACTGACCTTTGTTGTTCTTGCTTCAGCGGCACATATAATAAAATTCGAACAATACAGAGAAGATTAGCATGGCCCCTGCGTGTAGATGACACATAAAAACTAAACTATGCCCTGATTTATTCAGATGCTTCTCTATGGAAAGATGAAGACTATTATGAAGCAGATCCCTCTAAAAGATCTGATAAGGTATTTTTTATTTCTATTTCTTTTGTCTTCATCATTCATAAATTGACCTAATGTCTGAACTCCTTTCTTATAATTTTCTCTTCTCAAGGAAGAAACATACTAATTTGGCAATGAAACCATGAGAAAGAAGCATTCTTATTCATGTAAAGTTAGTCAATTAGTGGGATCATCCTTGCTAAAGATGAGATACACGAGTAATGGAACACAAACCACATCTCTAATGAAAAGAAAGAATTTGGGGTTCTAAATAACAGAATGAAAATGCTTTTGATGTTAGTAAGGCTTCTGGCTGATAACTTATCTTTCCAGAGCAAATATTGCCAAGGAAATCTGCATACACTCACATCACAAATTCTGTTTTTCTGCTTGCACACTCATTTGCACACTTGGCATCTGGTATGCTTGGTTGCTGCACCAAGTTTGCTAAATTTTCCTTTCACACTTTGCAGTTTTTCCCAGTGAATACTTATGGGCACTTCAAAGAACAAACAGTAAAGAGAGAGGCCAGCTCCTCGGACAGATTCATATTTGTCACCAGGCCACCTTTATAACCAAAGGCTCGGTCTATACAAGTACAACCCAGCCCATCCCAGGTTTTGTATCTGTATATACACAAATATACAAATACAAATCTATTTTTATTTATGTATTTATATACAAATTTATGTATATTTAGATGTAGATAGAGACGATACAGATATAAAAAAGCCAGATTAAATTATGAATCTGCAAAGATTCTTACCAAGTCCACTGAAGAACTATCTCTAGAAAATTGGAGACACATGTCAGTGCTTTATAAAGATCATACAAAACAGAATGAAAATCTAAGAAAGCTAGTCATACAGAAACTATTTAATCAAAGAGTAAAGACAATTATAACATCTGTTAATCTTCTGTGGAGGTTATAATTAAATGCTTTGGAGAAATACCCTTTTAAGGGTGATCTTTAACATCTGTCATGAGGACACACAGCATTGTGCAGTGATGAATCACTTCGGCACTTCGGGAAAAGAGGACTTCTAGAGCTCACAGGCACTGCAAAAGTCCCCATGCACATGGCCCAGACCTGTGCCCATGTTCCTGGGGCAAGGGCTTTGCTCTTCAGTGCTCTGTGTTGTGAGTCAGATTGCTTTCACTGAGTGTTATGGAATAACAGGATAACAGGGCCAGAAATGGCCGTGGGACTATCTGATTTCCTCCTTCACTTTGCAAATGGGGCCACTTGATCCCAAGTCCTACAGCTGGCTTGTATCATGATTTTATGAGCAAGGTTTTTCAATCTCTGTCCTGATTACACTCCACTCCACCATGCTGCTTGCTCCTTTGGTTTCGCTTTTACTTTGGCTTGTAATTTGGATGTGTTCTTTGTTTAACAGGACCAGCATTAGAACGAGGCCCTAGGATATCTGAAATTTATGAAGAGGTTGAAAAACTGAAATAATTCCCTTTTCCTCTATACCCCTGGCCACTGAGAATTATTCACTGACCATTATTCATTTCTCCTCTACTATCCTTTCGGGGAAAAAAGAGGAAAAGGAGAGGTAAATAAAGGTAAAGAAGAAGAAGAGCAAAAGGGATGAGAAAATAGAGGGAGAGATGGAGAGAATATTGAAATATATAAGGAAAGAGAAAAAGGTGGGGTTAGAGAGAAGAGAGATGGAAAAGAGGAAGCGAGCAGAAGAAGTTAGGGAAGGTGGTCCAAGGATGTAGAAAAAGAGTATCAAGTTAAAACCCCATCAAAAGGATCTGAACACTCCTTATACCCATCCTACTCCATAACCTGGTTCCACTGTACTTCATATATGCAGTTCTATACATACGTAAGACCACAGGATCTGGCAGCTTTGCCAAACAAAATGCAGAGTTGATAAAGCCAGGGACATCACATAAACAGATGCAATGTGTTGAGCAATGAAAAATATGCACATATGGTGAGAACATAATAAATGCACTCACAGCCCAGGAGGGGGTTGGGGATGGGCAGTCTCCGTGGTATTTGTTTGGGGCTTCGAATACCAATAGGTGCCAAAATGCTGAGCAAATGAGGCTCTTAACATTTGGCATGGGGCTTAAACAAATCCTGATGACCTTGACACATAGTGCTGTCATCAGTCCTCTCATTTCCCTTCATCACCCTCTCCTAAGGGCCCATTATGTCTTCAATGATAAGGAGCCAATCTTGATGATAATGGTCTCCATGTATCAGGATTCTCCTGTTATGCTGGCACTCCAGGTACTTTATCTCGGTTAATCCTCACAATGATCCTATAAAGAGGTAACATGATCTAAATATCTGGTTCAGTCTTCCTGTGTAATCTGGAACACATTAACCTCTTGAAATCTTGGTTTTCTCATTTATAAAATGGGATTAATAGTAATATCTATATCAAAGGGCTACTTTAAGGATAAATACAAATAGAAAAGCACAACAGGGCCAGACACATTGTTAGCACTTCATAAGTATTAGGTGAAATCATTGTTGATATTAGTACATTTTATGAACAAGTAAACCAAGCTCAATAAAGTTAAATAAGCTGTCCCAAATCAATGGAGATCGGAACAGAGATTAAAACCCAGGTACATTCAAGGGTAAATGCCAAATGGGCATGAGCCGTGGCTATTTGTTTTCTGTTACTCGTTCTGTATTAACTGACTCCAAAGATTCTAATCTTTCTAGTTATGATGCAGCCTCTCAGGAAAAAGGTATCCAGAAAATCTCCAGCCCAGCCTGGGAAACATGAAAGGGCGTATTACTCAGCTCAGAACATCTTCTGCTTCTCATTCCCTTGTCCACATCAATGAGAAAAGAAATCCTTGTCCATTCTCATATTCATTTATTCCCATACCTATAGAGCCCTCATGTGACGAATGCCATGAATATTAATGCATGCATGACTAGAAATAAACAGGCAATCTCTCACTCTTTGAAAGTTAGGTAAAAAAGCAATACCGTGTCTTTATGCCCTGAGTCAGCAAGCATTGGAATGCCGTGAGATCTGAATGTCATCAGTTGGGTTATAAAAAGAAATGTTTTCACAAGTGTAAAAATGAAGAGGAGAAAGCACTAAAGTCCACTTGCTTATACCCATCCATTTACCAAACACTTATTGAGTGACTACCATTTGCCAGCCACTATTCTAGATGCTAAGGCTACAATATTAAACAAAACAGAAACAGCCTCTGCCTTCATGGAACTTATAGCCTAGATGCAGAGATGTTCTCAATCAAATAGATGACCATATATTTAATTACACTAGTGATAAGTGCTATAAAACAAGTATCTGAAGCTACCAGAAAAAGCTTTCCTGGAAAAGCCATTTAGGCTGAGCAAGAGTTGTCTCAGTGAGGATCAGGGACAGACAGGGGAGCTTTCCTAAGGAGAGATATGGGTAAATAGGAGGAGCTGAAATTAAGCCAGTGAGCAGGAAGAGAACAGCTCTGCACTAAGCCACACATTAGAAAAGTCAACTCAACTCCCCATGACTCTGTTTCCTTCACTGGACATGACCGCAATGGGTCTGAATCCAGGGCATCCTGTAGAGTGAGAAGATTCTGCTCCAGGTGCAGGGAACAGAAAACTCGTTTCTGCTGAGAATGGGGCTCACTCAAACATAGGAAGCAAGCATAAACTATTCCTAGGAAAGAAAAACCATCCTTATTTTCCGCCATATTCAACAGCCAATACTACATTCTCAAAGGGCTGACACAGTGCTCCAGCTCCAAAAGAAATGTCATGCATAGATTTCACGACTTAGTATCCAAAGTCCTGGTTTGGTTGATGGGTTATTAATGATCTAACTGAATTCCCCAATTTTCACCTAAGAAAACAATGGAAATGAAAAGTTAAGACTTCTAATTTCTCCAGCTAGAAAGTACAATTCACTTTAAAAAAAAAAATTTATTTTGGTGGTTTTACTACTATTAATCAGGTAAAAACAATGGCTTCTTTAACAAGGTAACTGTTGCAATTGGTTTGTATGTGAAAGTTTATTCAGTTTAATAAGGCCCTCTACTGGCAATCTCCAAAAACACAGCCTCTTTCAAATTATTTCAAGTAAACTATTTTAATCACTCCCAGAAATAAAGTATCTCACATTCCTGACTATACAAATCTGGACTGAAAGAATGAGTGAGAAGAAAATGAGAAAAAGAAGAATGAGAAAAATAAATGTCATTTTGAGCGGGACATTCATTTACCTCTTCATAATATTACATGAAGAAGTATCGTTTGCTTCCCTGATGAAGTCAACAGAACTCAAAAACAAAGGGTATTTATTACATTAAAATGTATCGAGTATTCATGGAACCATAAAACCAAATTATCAATGTTATTTACCCATATAAACCATATTATTAATGTTATTTACCCATATAAACCATATTGCTTCTATCTTTTTACCCACATATAAGCAAATTACTATAATTAGAATAAAAGAAATGTTGAAGGCAGGCCTTTTAAACTACTTCTGGTATAGCACAACTAATAAATAACTTCTCCCACTTGACAACTGACAAAAAACAGTATATGATGACTTGAGAATTTAATTATTTGTATAGGAAGAATTTTTTAAAAGTTATCTTTGACACATTTGTCAAAGGACTGTTGGAACAACTGGGAAATTTTAACTATAAGTTCCTAGAAAACTAAGTAAATTTTTTAAATGAGGCAATTATTAACTTTAGGAAAAAATATTTTTAACAGGAGGGAAATACAAAAACAATAAATGATTGAATCAACAGTAAACATTATTCATGATGATGACATAATAAACACCACTAAATATACATTTAATCAACAATTGTGATATAATTCCTTGGTGAATAGGAAAGGTATGGGAGATGTAAGATATATATATTATAATCTACCATAATAGGAAATAGATATTATAAATAGATATAAAAACATTCTTTAGAAATACCACAGAAAGAGCATC